GGGGCAGATCTGGCTGCTCTGATTGGCCGGCTGGGGCGAGCTGCTGCGCAGGCGCGCGGGGTCTCACGGCCTCGAACAGCAGCCGCAGGTGCTGGGCGATCCTGAGGCTGGAGGCGCCGCCGCGCGGGCCCAGGCGGTGCAGGACGTCGCCTGCGACCTCCATCAGGCCCAGGAGGTGCTCCGGCTCGGGCTGCAGGAAGCTGTCCAGGAGCGCGGCCAGCCGGCTCCGCAGCAGGGCCACCTGCGGGGAGACGCGGCCGCCTGGCCTGCGCGCCCTTCCTCCTAGCGCCCTCCCGCGCCCGCCAGCACCTCTTCCTCTGGCTGAGGCTCCCTCGCCGCCGCCCGCCGCCTCCCCTTCATGCTCAACCGGAGGCGTCGGCCCCAGCCCTCGGGCAGCATCCTGGGGCAGAACATACAGTGGGAGGCCCGGGGGCAGGCGAAGAAAGGACGCCCCATCCAGAGAGTTCTGAGTCTTTCCTGTACTGGGTGGAGCGTGAACGACGCAGGTAAGGGATTCCTACCTGGAAAGGAGGCCAAAGTCGGTGACCTCAGAGCTCCCTCCCACTCAAATTCTAGGATCTCCAGCCCTGTGCAGTGCAGCAGGGTCCCCCAAACACTTCAACCCTCTCCTGCCCCCAGCCTGACTTCCCCATCCACCCCTTCCAACCCCACCTGTCATGGAGGCTTTTTTCAAATGCCTCCTCCTTTCAGAAACCTTCCCGGGAAGGGAGTGGGCATCTCCTCCTCTCACCTTCTTAGGCTGCATCAGGACACTGCTGAGCCCTGTCAGGCTCGCGGCCCGCACCAGCTTGTTGGGGTTGTTCAGGCCCAGGCTCAGTAAGTTGTCCATGGTTTTCCGAGACATGTACTGGGTGAGCTCTTGACTGTTGAGAAACTGAGTAGGGTCGGTACAATCAGCCCACAAGTTAATTACAGCTGCCAGGGCAAGTCAGCCTGCATACAGCACAGCATGAGGTAGTGGGGTGAGATGTAAGATGACCTTTCAGTAGGTCTGACGTGGAAGGCATGGCTAGGCTGCCTCTATGTTGGAGGGTAGGAATGGAAGTCCAGTTCTCTGGCCTTCTTCCTATGGGCCAGAGGGCACTGTGAGGAGCAGAGGGAGGGCTGACCTCTGTGATGAGGAGGATGGCCACGATGTTGTCTCGTTCCTCAGAGCTCTTCAGGGAGATGACCGCCTGTCCCAAAACAGCCTTGACCTCACAGTCATAGTGGGCCATGGCCCTGTCAGATGGAAGAGACCAACACAGGAGCCCTGAGGGCTCTGTCCTTGGCCAGGGGGACCCTCCTCTCCCCACAGACCTTGCTCACTCAGGGAGATGGCCCAGGCAACTGAGTCTGAAGTGCAGAGTCCCAATTGTGGGGTGTAGGAGGGGACCCCATCAGGGGTGCAGTCTGGGGCAAAGCCCCTCCCAGACTTAGTGCTTACCTGGCCAACAGGGTCACCCCCTCTGTGTAGGTTTCCAGGTGCTCAAAGAGCTCCCAGCCTCTCAGCAGCTTGAGGTAGGCAAACACCTCCCAGTGGTTGGTGGTCCAGAAGAGACCCTTTAGGGCCTCTAGGCATGTGCTAGGGGCAAGTGGGGGTGTTTGAGCTCAGTTCTCCACCTGGAGCATAGGGTGGCACCAGCTTCCTCAACCTGCCCTCTCACATCTGGGCCTGGCAAGCTTTCACGTTCTAAGCTCCCCCTCTCTCAGGATCTTCCCTCCTGACAGTTGTAGACGGCTCTGCCCCCTGCTCCCCACTCTGGACTGCAAGCCCCTAGAGTTCATTCCTTTCTGGGTTCCCAGCACTTAGCCCAGGGCCTGGTACCCACCAGGCATTCTGTGTATGTGTGGGAGGAACCAGAGAGTGAGTGTGGGCTGGAGTCCTGAGAGGGGGCTGGGTGCCGAGGCCCTTCACACATCTCACCTGCAGGGGCCAAGGGGCTTCATCTCCAGGATGTCCTCCTGGGAGTCTATGATGTCCTCAACCACACCCAGCTCAAACAGGTAGTGCAGCTGTGTGAGCAGGCCCAGGAGAATCCCCGCAAAGGCCCAGTGCACTATGGCCTTATACTCTTGGATGTAGAGGAGTTCATAAATAGTGCCCAGGGCCTGCAGGGGGAGACAGAGCAGGGCCCTGGCAGGGCACGAGCCTTGGTCCCCTCATGGGGCCTAGCACCAGTGAGGAGAGGAGCTGGGAGCAGCAGCCACAGTGCTGTCCTGTCCCCAGACCCCGCTACCTACACCTGGCTGGGCTGGGAGAGTCCCAGTGGCTCTGGTCCCACCCTGGGACTCAGCATCAAGAGACCTTGGCTACTTATGAGACCCTCAGCCGGGTTACCCTGGCCTCCCACAGGGCCCTTGGGTGAGGAGGCGGTTGCAGCAGTGCAGGCACAGATGGGGCCTCTCACCAGCATGGAAACAAGCTCTGCCTGCTCCGACAGCCTGACCAGCAGCTGGGGCGGCCGCAGCTTCAGCTTTATGTAGAGCAGGGTAACGACCTTGCGGGCCAGCTGGTTGTTGGTGGCCAGGGCCTTCCACAGGGGTGCCACCTGCCTGGAGAAGCAGGGAGTCCATTCCCCCAGCCGGCTGCCACACTGGGCAGAGTGGCCAGCGGGACACAACCCCAGGTAAGCAGGATGTTAAAGGGAAGTGGCCAGGCCCCTCAGGCATGGTGAGTCCTCCATCTGGGGGTCTAGGAAGCTGACCAGCTGGGCTGGGCCCCTCATCAAAGCTCTGAGTGCAGGCTAGCTTCCCCAGACGTGAGCCTCACTCCCTCTCACACCCCCTCACCATGCGACCCCGACTTGAGCAAATCCATCCTTTACATGCTGTCTCTTCACTCCAAAAGTGGAGTTGGACCCCAGCAGAGCTCACCCCTCAGGCAGCCTGAGAGGCGCTCCTGGGTCTGCAAACCTGAGAACACCCTGTGGTGCAAGACAGCCGGTGCCCCCTGAGACGCTTCCAGAGGCACCGAGGTCCCCACGCCTCCTAACCTTAATAGTATACACACACCACTTGGGACTGGTTAGGATGCGCTTCTGACTCAGCAGGGCTGGCCAGCCAAGACCACGTTTCTAGCCTGCTCCATGCTGTTGCTGGTCCTCAGTCCATAGACCGTGCAGCTTGGAAACCCACCAGCACAGAGGGGCAGCTGGGACCATATGTGCTTGGGGCCCGGGGTAGCTGGTGGGGGCTGTTTGGGGGCCGGCTAGTATCCTCATGTCACCCAGCTAACATCTGGCCCCTCTGCAGGTTGGTGTCTGGGGCTCCCTGAGTCTGAGGGACACTTCCATGCTGCTGGAGTCTCCCCCTCAGCCCTCTCAGCCCCCATGGCCCCCTTGGCCCCGGACACCTTTGGGGACCTCTGGTTGTGGAGTCTAGGAAAGGGGGTATTGTCAGGCTGAAGCTGTGTGCACGTCCGTCTTTCCAGCAAGAGTCTGTCCAGGCAGCGACCATGGACTTGGAGAGTGGACCATGGATGGTGGCCAGGTGTTTGCCTTTGAGTCCTGCATGCAGGTGACCTACCTCTCTGAGGGGTGGCACAGGGACAGCATCACGTCGACTGTCTCCTGCGTGTGCTGGGTCCCCAGCACGGTCACGGCCTTCATCACAGTCTGTAGGGTATTCTTGAAGATGATGCCAGGCATCTCCCAGAACAAGCCCTGCAGGACCTCGGCCACCTACCCAGGGAGGGGCGGCAGGAAAGGGCCTCAGAGCAGCCCCTCCAGCTGCGTGTGGGCCTCTGTACAGCTGGCCCTGTGCGATCTCCACAGCATGTGCAGGGCCCGATGGGCATGGTGGGTGGGAGCAGCTTGTATCTCACAGCTGCTGAAATGGGAATCAACCTCAATGGGCCAGGGATATTGACAGGACCTGGCAGCCCCTGGGGAACATTAATGTCCTGTGGGCCTGGGACTAGGTTGGCCAAGCCAGGCTGAGGAAAGTGAAATCCCAGGTGGGGCCAATTTCTCTCTCCTTCTGAACAAGACTGAGAGTGAGGAGGGCCCAGGGACCCTGCGGTCCAGTGGGACAGGAGGGTGGAACAGAGCCCCTGAGGCATCTCTGAGGCTTGGCCCTGCTGGCAGGTAGGGCATCTGCTGCCAATGGTCAGGAGCAGGACTTACTGCTTCCCGGATTCAGGGGGGTCTCCAGAAAGAGGCGGGGTACGCTCCCACATACACATGGGCAGCCCTGGACATGTGGCAATCCTGCTCCCCGAAACCCCATGCCTTCCATAACAGGTCCAGTACCTGCAGGGACCCACCACGGCACTTGGCCAGAGGGGAGGGGGATGCCTGCCAGGCCTTGGCGCCCAGTACCCACCTGCTCTGGCTTGATGCTGTGGTCCTCGAAGACCATCAGGAGGAGGTGAGAGGCCAGTTCGCAGTACAGGTGGTTATGGTTACAGAGCCCATGCAGGAGCGTGAGGATGAGCTTCGTGTGCTGGGCCACGGTCAGGTTCTCATCCAAGGCCTGTGCCAAAAGGCCTGGGCTGAGCAGCCAGCAGGAGACTCTCCCTGGTCAGCAGCCATCCAGGCTCTCCTGCATGTGGGCTTGGAGACAGGACTGGAGGCTCTGCTCTAACCCAGAGGTAGGACAAATGCCAGGTCACAGCCTTGCAGGGACCCCTACCCCCAACAGGCTGTTGGTGCCCTGCCTAGCTTGCCTCAGCAGGCCACGGACCACTGCCTGGGGGCTACAGGTGTAGCTACTACAGACTCAGCTGCCCCTTCTCTGGAGTATTGCTCTGGGGATGATGGGAGCAAGCAGTTTTGCCCAAGTCCAGCATCTTCTGCCCCCAGCCTGCAGTGCACAGCCAGTGACTGACTCGGGCTACAAAAGCCCAGCCCCAACCTCACGGTGGGACCAACTCCCAGGGGTGCCGTTCATGCCACAGCACACCCCATCGTCAGACTCAGCCCATGCCCTACTCAGCTCCTCCTGCCCTGTCCTGCTTCCCTCACTCCCTCCTCCTGAGAACACGTCCTTGTCCTTGGTCAACTGTACTGGAGCTCTTGTCCCAGGTTCTGTTTCTGGGGGTGCCACCTAAGACAACAGGCTTGTAAAACCAGGCTCCCTGGGAAGTACTCCCAGGGGACGTCCATCTGCTCTGAGGGGTCACCGTTCCTATCACACTCTGTCCTGAGCACGGGGCTGGATGTCAGTCTCAGGGACCTCACTTGGAAAATGGGGAAACTGAGGCACAAATAGGTTGACTGACCTATCCAAGGCTACTCGGTCAGTTAGGCACAGAGCTTAGACTCAAACCCAAACCCTCAACTCCTACTGCAACGTGAAGGGAGGGCTGAGCCTGAGAAGAGCATGCATGCATGGGGAAGGTGGGCAGAGGAATGGGAGGCCAGCTACTCTGCGTGCCTGGGACTGACGGGAAGTGCTACCATCAAGACAGTCCTGACGAACCAAGACAAGTTGTCACTTAGTGAAGAACTACAAAGGAGAGGCCCGAAAGGGAGAGGGTGCTGAGAAAGGAATCTGCAGTTTCCAGTGGACCCAGTCACACCTCCAAGTTGGAGGTGGGTGAGGCAGGGACAGGGTTGTAAGGGGAGAGAGACTTTCCCTGGAAAGAGTGTCAGGGTCTTGGCTATACCTAACTTGCTCCCTTGCCCAGGTCGTGTGAGGCCTCCATTGGCCCTGGCCATAAAATGGGCAGGGGAGGTGAGTGGATCAGATAGATCCCACGCTTTTGAAGTTACGGGGCTTTGTGGGAGCAACCAGCCCCCAGCTCTTATAGGCCCTACCTGCACCAAATGGTAGAATTTCGTATCTGATTCTCTGTGGGCCCTCTCTTCAAAATTCTTCATTTTATTCAGATATATGAACTCCATCATGCTCCCTGTGTGGGACACTCGGTCAGGAGGCCTGTGGAGCCTGGGAAGGGGCACCCTCACTACAGACCACAGTGAGGCCCTGAGAAACCAGGAGCCTGGCCCGCTCCCAGGGAAGAGTGGGGCACGGGCCTCTGCCGGCCGCCCACCCAGCCTGCTCACAGCTCACCCTTCCGCTGGGTGAGAAGCTGCAGGAGGAGGCAGACACACTGGCGGGAGCGGCTCCTGGTGCCCTCGTCCTCGTCCTGCCACAGCAGCATCAGCAGGCCCAGCTGATGGCCCAGCACGGAGGGTGTGGCCTCCTCCTGCGGGGGGTGGGAGCGAGCATAGCCAGGCCTGGCCTCTTGGCGCCCTTTCCACTCTCCCCCCGGTGTTTCAACTCTCTCAGTCCATTCCTGTGCTCAGGGTCCGGTGGGCAAGGCGCTGGCTCCTGTTCCAGCCCTAGAAAAGCCCTTCATCTCTCTGGGTTCATTGAAGTTCTTGGAGAAATGGGTTTATATTTTTCATCAAATCTGAAAATTTTCTGCCATTATATCTTCAACTATTTCTTTCTGTCCTAATCCTCTCACCTCGCCTTCTGGGATTCTGGTTACACCTGATAGTGCTCCATAAGACATGGAGACTTTGTTTTTCTTCTAACCTTTCTTTTTTCTCTATATGCTTCAGTTTCAAGAGGTTCTATCATCCCATCAAGTTCTTTCTTCTGCAGTGTTTGAGCTTCAGTGAAATTAATGCAGTGAATTTTTCATTTCAGATATTGTATTTTGCAGTTTCTAGAATTTCCATTTGGTTTTTTTATAGTTACCTTTTATCTTTTGATACTTCATGCCTATTCTTTTATTGTATTCATATTTTCCTTTAAATTCTTGAACATATTTATAAATGCTGTCTTAAAGTTTTGTCTCATTCCATCATCTTTGTCTTTTCTCCTAATCACAGGTGACTACTCCTGCTTCGTCACCACATCACATAATTTTTTACTGTATGCTGGACACTGTGAGTATTCTATTGAATTTTGTTCTGACAGGCAGTTAATTGATCCTTTGGAAGCTTGGGTTTAAGTTTTTTGTTAGGGCACATTCAGAGTATTTTTTATGGATTTTTAAAATTTTCTTTTGAGTAAATGCTGGGTATAGAACCACATGGTGCCAGGATTGGCAGGGGTTAGCTTGGTAAGAACTACTGAAAGTTGTCCCAAGAGGCCTTACCATTCCTAACTCACACCAGCAATGTGTGACATTCCTAGTGGCCCCACATTCCTATCCCCTTTTGGTCTGCTCAGTCCTTTTAATTTCAGCCTCCCAGTGGTAAGTGGTGATGCCCCAGCATGGCTTTCTCTGCATCACCTTAGGACAGATCAGGTTGGGCACATTCATTTTCATGTGCTTTGTAAAATGCTTGTTTAGCTTTTACCTGTTTTAAAACTGGGTTCTTGTAGCCTGGCTGGGTGTAGCTCAGTGGCTGAGCATCCAGGAGATCACGATTCAATTCCCGGTCAGGGAACATGCCCAGGTTGAGGACTCAGTCCCCAGTGGGGGGCATGCAGGAGGCAGCTGATCAATGACTCCCATCATTGATGTTTCAGCTCCCTCTCCCTTCCTCTCTTTGAAATCAATACAGGTATATTTAAAAAACAAAACAAAACTGAGTTGTTGCCCTGGCCAGTTTGGCTCAGTAGTTAGAGCATCACATGTGGACTGAAGGGTCCCAGGTTCGATTCTGACCAAGGGCACGTACCTCAGTCACAGGCTTGGTCCTGGCCGGTGGTCCGTGGGCAAGCGGGAGGCAACCAATCGATGTGTCTCTCTCACTGAAGTCTCTCTCCCCCCCTTCCACTCTCTCTGAAAAGCAATGGAGAAAATATCCTCGGGTGCGGATTAAAAAAATAAATTAACTGGGTTGTTTATCCTTTGATTGCATTGTAGAAATTTATTTATCCTTAACACACATCTTTTGTTATCGTCTCCCATCTGCATCTCGACTCTCTTTTTTCCTTTTTATTTCAGAGAGAGGAAGGGAGAGGGGGAGAGAGAGAGAGAAACATCAATGATGAGAGTCATTGGTCGGCTGCCTCCTGCACACCCCCCACTGGGGATCGAGCCCGCAGCCGGGCCTGTGCCCTGACCGGGACTCGAACCCTGACTTCCTGGGTCATACAGTGCTCAACTGCTGAGCCACGCTGGCCAAGTCTGTGTCTCAGCTCTTGATTCCCTGAATAGTGTCTGGATGGTACAGACATTTCTAATCTTGATGAAATCTGTTATCCATATTTTATTTATATTTATTGCCTTCTACATTCTGTCTAGGAAATCTTTGCCTACCCCAAATTTGTAGAGAAATTCTGTTTTCTTCTAGAAACTTCATGGTCTTCACTTCCACGTTTAGTTCTGTGGTCCATCCTGAATGGTTTTGTTAGTGGTGAGACCGGTGAGGTTCTCCCCTTGGGCCTCTGCACATTTCAGTACTTGGTGGAAAGTGCTTCCCTTTCCCTGTTCAGTAGCTTCACTGCTTTTGCTGAAAATCAATGGACTGCCCACAGAGGGACCTAGTTTCTGACCCCTCTTCTTTTCTGTCAATCTATTTGTCCATCTTTCTTTCAACACCACATGGTCTTGGTTCCGAAAGCTTCCCCCTAAGTCCTGAAGTCTGGCAGTAGCAGTCCTTCACTGGTTCCTTTTTCAGGATGGTTTTGGTGGCTCTGGGTCTTCCACATGTGGCGCTCACCTCTGGGCCTCAGCTGAACGCCAACCATCTGGCTCCCCTCCCTTCCTCCCTTAAAGTCTTATTCACAGGCCACGTGGCCACGCGAAGCTCTCCCCAGACTACCCTGTCTGAACTGTGACCTTCCCCCCAGGACCAGGGGCTCCCCAGGTGGGGCCTGTGTCTTATCTCCAGCACTGTACATCGCCATCTAGATGCTCGGTAAATACTGACTGCAGCTGGGAGGTGTACCCCAAGTAGAAGCAGAGTGTCGTGGGGGCCTCCCTGCCCCTCCCTTTTCCTGGGCCCATGGCCTGGCCACCCTCCCACCAGCGGCGAGCTGTCGGCGGACTCACAGTGAGTCTCATGTAGTCCACCACACACTTCAGAAACAGGAAGATGGACTGCACCACCCTCTTGCGCTCATGGCTCTTGTCTGACTTCAGCCAGGGTTCTGTGTGCTGGAAAGGAGGGAGAAGAGCCCGAGGTACTGGTCAGCCCCACGGGCCTGCTCTCACCACTGAGCTCAGATTCGGCCCTGGGTATGGCTGCTTGAACATAAGCGATGGGAGGGCTGGCTATAGCTGGTCCTGACCCACCAGATGTTTTACTCTTCCCTGCCCCGTCCATCAGCTCAGCTCCCTCGGGTGAGGCTGGGTCTGGGGCCATGTGACAGCCTCCAGAATGTGGAGACTGCCCTGGGCTTGGGGAGCTCTGCAGACAAGCAGTGCCTGGTGGATCTCTGGGTTTGCCTCAGTGGCCTTGGGACTGTGGCAGCTGTGGGGCTGGGTGGAGAGGGAAGCCAGGGTATTTGAGACCATTCCTGAGACTCTTTTTGCCCTAAAGGGCACTGGAGGGTAAGGTCAGTGGGCCACCCTACTCCTTGCAGGGTCCTTGGCTCTTCTGAAACATCCAGCAGAGCCTTTTGGAGAAGAGAGAGTCCCAGGGCACTTGGGTCAGCGTATAGGGCAAGCCTGCCAACCTGGGACCCACCCTGAGCAGACCCTGGACAATCCAAAGCCAGGACTTGAGTAGGCACTCGGAGCCCTGATTCTGCATCCCACATTGACCCCCGACCTCACCTGCAAGATGAAGCAGACCTCATCCATGCTCTTGTTCTGAGAGATGAAGGTCTGGAGGAGCAGATTAAGTGCCTGCATAGACTTCTGGTACAGCACCTACTGGGGCAGACAGCTGCCTGGTGTTGCATGGCCTGGGGTTGGCCTGCCAGTCCTGTGGCCAACACCTCATTCATCCCTTACTAGGTGCCTGGGAAACTGTCCCAGGTAAGGGCTTGGCCACTCCTCCCTGTAGGGCCCTGGGTGGCTAATGATAGCACCCCCCAGGCCCAGTGCTGGGGGCGGAGGTCAGGCTGCTTAGACACGTGTCTCTCCCGCCACCTCTGTCCCACAGGTCCCTTCTGCTGCTCATGTGCTTTGTTTGCCTTAAACACCTCCATCGAGGGTTAGTTAGTTCCATTCTTTCCTTTTCACCTTGGTTCTTCCCAGGAACATTTTTTGGCAGATGTCCCCAGATATTCAGAATTCTGGCCCAAAGCTACACACAGACCTGCTGCCCCATACTCACCATGGTGGTAGGTGGCAGACCAGCACAGCGTTTGGCACTAGGAGTCACTAAGTGACTGTTGAATAAGTAAATATGTTAATTGTGTGGTGCTGGAGATTGTGGGAGGGACCGTGAATGAGTCCCTCTGCACAAAAGCTAAGTGAGGTTCGTGAGGTGCAGGAAGGTGCGAGATCAACGTAGGAAAATCAGTTGTGCTCACACACCAGCAGCAGCAGATGGGGCTTGAAACGTTTAACATTGTTGGCAACATCATAAAAAATACAAAATTCATAGGAAAGAGTCTGACAAGAGATGGGTAAAGAATGTACCCAGACAACTGGGAAGCGCTGCTGAGGGGACTAAGAAGGCCTAAGTACCTGGCCACATATGCTGAGTTCACGGATCAGGGCCCAGAGCAATAGTACATTGTCAATTATCCCCAAGTCAACCTATAGAGTCAGCGTGGTCCCAATCGAAATCCCAGGGTGCTGTTGAGTGGAAGTTGACCAGCTGACTCCACAGTTCATATGGAAACACAAAGGACCTAGAGTAGCTGACCTAATTTTGAAAGGTTGGAGGACTCATTCCACTAGGCTGGTTTAATGCAGAAGATGGGCCTCATGGGAAACCTAACACTCTAAACTAGAGGAGAACGTCTCTGTGAGCTATATCCTTTGCTCCCCTCACTCACATATGTGGCAAGGGCTTGACAAACTAGCCCAGCACCCAGAACCCACCACCCAGAAAGACAGGATGGTCCCAGGGACAGGGCAGTCACCATGACGTCTGGGTTTGACTCCAGTGGAGATAAGCATCTCTTCAGTGTCTCTGTAGGTGGGAGCTGGTACAGGCTCTGCAAGCAGGTATTCAGGATCCTGGACTTGACCATGAGCTTGAGACTGGGCCGCAGGCTGCTGGGAGAAACAGGAAAGACTCTGGACATCTTTGCACAGCCCGTGTCCTAGGAATGAAAGGCCTGGCTGAAGCAGAGTCCCGGCAGGAAGAGGCTTGCACAACTTAAAATGGGGACACTGGTCTGGATTACAAAAAGACCTTAGACTCTGGCTTGAGGTGAGGGCGGGATGCTGGTGGGGGATACAGAGCTCATTTGGGCTGGGAGGGGCCAACCCAGTTCATTCACTCACTTCTCTTGGGTTCATTGATATTTATTTGTGAGAAAATTTTAAGGATAGTTCTGGGGTCAGTGTCAGTGCTGTGAATGAGATCAGTACTCAGCCTGTGGCCAGGGTCAGGGCTCAGCCTGTGGCAACGTTAACCTTTCTTGGACAAGAAATAAAGTAAGTCTGTCCCTGTAGAATGTGGCCCCTGGTTCAGCTTGCCCAGTGCTGTTTTAGTCCCTGATGCCAGCCGCACCCCCTATGACCCTTACGCACATCCTCTCATCTCCTTACACACTGACCCTCACCCCATACTCAAAGGACCTAGCCTGTCTTCATTCCTGGACCCCGAGAGGGGTACCTGAGTCCCGCGATGACCAGTATGGTCTTCTGCCGGAAGAGGTTGGCTAGGCAGTTGGGCTCCTTCTGAAGGGTGCACTGGGAGGGCAGAGTGGGAGCCAACATGGTGTGGAGCCTGGCCCAGCCCGCTCAGCCTCCTGTGCCCCTGGTGGTCCCTGCAAACACCTGCTGGGTGGGCAGGGCCCCTGGGGTCGCTCACCAGTAGACAATGGATCAGCTCTGGTATCTGAGTAAACTTGTAGCTCTGGGCTCTGCTCTCCCCCTTGAGAGCTTTCATGAGCATGAATGCTGCCGAAAGGAAGCTCGTCTTCAAGGTGTTGTCCTGTCCATGCACAGATGGACAAATGGACACAGTCAGCAGGAGCAGATGGATCTTCCATGACATCCTGCCACACAGCCCAGAGCCCACCCCAGCACAGTAGACACATGTCTACTCCTCGGGGAAGGGCTCACGTAGCTGCTGCACGAGTAGTAATACACCATCCTGGAGGCGATGTTGTCCACCCAGGGCAGGATCTGCTCCCGAGCGTGCACGGCCATCTGCCCGTAGCAGAGCAGGGAGGTGCTGCTGACCCATTTCCAGTGCATGTTGGGGTCCGGCTGCTGTGGGCAAGAGGGTGGCGAGGAGCAGAGCGTGTCAGCCCTTCGCTTAGGCCCAGGCTGTGGTCCTAGGCCCAATGCCAGCCCCTCCTCCAGGAAGCCCTCTCCTCCCAACCCCCAGCCCTCTAGCTGACCGCTGCTTCTCCAGGCAGCACCCTCCTCTAAGCATCTGCAGCTTATCTGCTCTTCCCAGCAAGGGGCCTGGGATGGGCTGGCTGGCAAAACGGAGCCACTCAACATATCCCAGGTGTACAGGTAGGGAAACTGGGGCCCAGGCCACATACATGGTTCAAGGACAAGGCTATGGCCTGGACCATTAGCCCAGCTGGAGGCTCTGGCCCATAGGCTTGGGGCCTTGGGGACAAGGCCCACGTCTTCATGGCCAAGGCAAGAACAGAGAAGGTATGAGTCCCACACTCCAGCCCCTCGAGGAGGGGGGTTGGGCAAGGACTACCCTGTTTCCAATGAGCAAACTGAGGCTAAGAGCAGGCAAGTCACACTCTCCAGGTCTCCAGCCCCTCCTGTCCCCGCTCACCTGTTCTACCTGGCTGTCTGGGGCTGTGTGGGAGGACCTCAGGAACCTGGTGCGGCCCAAGTGCTCCAGCATGGCCCACACCACCTCCATGTGCAAAGCGGCCGTGATGCCGATAGCTAGCGCAATGCCCTGCGGGCCAGAGGACCCCTGAGCATCTGGAGCAGCAATGCCCCAGGTGGCCAGCTCTCTCTTGCCCACCCTACCTGAGGACCCTGCAGAAGCAGGCAGGGGAGCCCACCATGCCCTGAAAAGCAGGCACCCAGGGGCTGCCAGGCAGGATGGAGCTGGGACACTGCACAGGCAGGTCCCCAGGTCACTGTAGGTCAGCACCAGCCCCAGTTTATGGACAAAGTGCAGGGGTGCTGAGAGAGTTGCAGTTATGGCTCAAAGGGTGGGAGGTCCATGGGCCAACAAACAGAGTATGGCTGCTTTCTGAGGGGCTGTGTTAGACCTAGGGGCTGGGGACCCAAGTCCACCGACCTACCGCCCGCTGGCTGGAGGACTCGTGGGACAGCTCTAGGAGGCTGGCCAGGTGCTTCTTCACGAGGTCCACGCTGGAGCACTCTCTGAGGATCAGCCCATAGAGGTGGAAGAGGAAGGTCTAGAGGGGGATGGAGCAGCTGTCCGGGCCTCAGTCTTCCTCCC